TGTCTTTCTTTCTTTCTTAATGTGTTTTTTCACTTTTTATCTTTCCTTTCCTTTCGTCACTTTATTTTGTATAACTGAAATCCTTTAAATAAAATATTAACAAGAAGAACTTTTTGAAATACAGATATTATCTATAAATGCATATACATATATTGTGTACATTTATACACACATTCATATGTATATGCATATATAAACACACAGACACATATGAATTCCCATTTTCATATGCTTTTATACTACTATTTCACTGGCTTTGTATTATATTTTTGCTTTAATTTTATTTTCTATTTTCTATTTCTGACACTGTTTAGTGATATATATATATATATATATATATATATATATATGATCAATGCCACAGCCTTGAACTGTGATAAATTTGCTTTGCTGGGTTGGCGGTTTGTTTTTCCAAGTGATGCCAGTCCAGAACTGCTGTGTTTACTGGGCAGGCCTGATGCTCTATTGGGGGGGGGGGGGGCTGGCTTATTATTGGGCTGCTCAGATTAGTTACTGGCTCCCCATACGTTCAGACCAAGGTCTGATCTTGCCCTGTTCACATGGGTTATTTGTTCTCGGATTAAGTAGAAGGAGATGAAAGGAGACGGGAGTGCTGGAAACTCATAATTCCCGTTCAAAATTGGGAAACAGAAACATAAGGATTTTGACCCCAGCTTTGAAGGGTTTTATATGGGGGAGTCAAGCTTGGAGGAAAACACACAGGTCACTGTGAAATTTAAGGCAACCACCTCAAGCATGGAAGCACCAAAGCTAAGAACTTAATTGAGGTTAGAGCTAGCTGGCATGGTGCCTTCCGGTGTGGAACTACAACTCCCATCATCCATGACAACTAGCCATGCTGGCTGGGGATGATGGGAGCAGGAGTCCGACAACATCTATAGAGCCACCCCCCCCATGCTGATAGACTCCAACTCCCATCAGCTCCAGTCAGCAGCACAGCCAATGGACAGGGCTCATGGGCGTTGTAGTCCAGCAACATCTGGAGGGCCACAGATTCCCCAACTGTGCCCTACGACTTAAAGCCAAAGGGGCCCAAACTGAATCCCCCCACTGAGCTAAAAAGGACAGAGCTGCGAGGACGTCCTTGTGGGATTATTCAGTGTGAGTGCCTCTTTGGCCACATCCACAGCCTACATTTAAAGTGCTATGATACCGCTTTAAACAGTCATGGCACCCCCCCAAAAGGATTATGGGAGCTGTGGTTTGTGCAGAGCATTGCTAGGAGACCCCGCTATTCCTCTCACAGAGCCACAACCTTCAGAGTGGTTTAACAATCGATCCTCAGAGCACTGAGGGTTGCTAGGGACCTCACTGCCCTCATTCCCCTCACAGTGCTACAATTCCCAGAGTGGTTTTATTCCTCTACCCACAGAGCTCTGGGAAATGTAGATCTGTGAGGGAGAACAGCCTTCTCCTCCATGGATTTGTCTAACCCAGGGGTCGGCAAGGCTTACCGGGCATGGGCCGGATCACTCCCAGGGAGATCCTCTGTGAGCCAGACTGGCACAGCGTGACGCCAGAAATCTCATCTGCGCATGTCCACAGCGCTGGAAATCGCTTCTGCGCATGCCCAGACGCTGAAAATTGCGCCTGCACAGAAGTGATTTTTGGTGTCTGGGCATGGGCAGAAACAATTTCCGGCGCCACAGACATGCGCAGAAGCATTTTCTGGTGCCACAGACATGCGCAGATGCAATTTCTGGCATCTGGGCATGCGCAGAAGCAATTTCCGGAGCCGCGGAAGAGAGTCCCCACGCCAAGCTGTGCTGGTTTAGTGCAGCGCACAGGGACTCGCCAAGTGGGTGGCTCGGTTCGGGGGTGGCTCGTTGGCCGGTTAAATGGCCTCCATGGGCCACTTCTGGCCCATGGGCCTTAGGTTGCTGACCCCTGGTCTAACCCACTTTTAAAGCCGTCCAAGTTGGTGGCCATTACTGCCTCGTGGAAGCGGATTCTCTAGCTTAACTGACCCTCGGATACCCTCCTCTCTTCCTCTCACAGAGCTAGTTTTCAGAGTTGCCTGGGAAGAGGGAACTGATTGTTGAACCACTGTGGAAATCTTGGCTCTGTGAGGGGAAGAGGGAGGTATCCCAACAACAACAATTTTATTATTTATGTGCCGCCCATCTGACTGATTTTGCCCTGGGCGGCTCCCAACAAAACATTAAAAGCGCAATAAAACATCAACCGTTTAAAACTTCCCTAACAACTCTCAGCATCCGTCAAAAACGACAGCTCCCAGAATTCTTTGGAGGAAGCCTTGACTGTTTAAAGCGGTATCACCGCGCTTTAAATGTATGGTGTGAGTTCCCTGGGACCTAACTGTTCTGGGTCAAAAAAGGGCCTGTCGGACTGCGCTGGTGTTGCCGTGTCATGTTTTCTGGTGTGACTGCTTGGATCAGCCCTTGTGCAACAAGTTGTTGTGGCACATGGGAGGCCGCATGTAGGCATAGTGCGAGCCTGGGCTTGCCCACTCACCTCCTGCTGCCGTTCCCTTCCAGCACATGAGTGTCTGGGTCCCTCGAGTTTACAAGCCTGCTGGTGTTTAAGGAGGCCGCCGCAAAAGCTACGCCTGACTCCATGCCCTGCTTCTCTGGTGCGACCCCTAAGTTTCTTCCATGTGCCAAGAGGCCCGTGTGGGGCAGTGCGTTTATGCGCATGCACTGCCCTACTGCCCTCTTCGATTTTCCTTTCCGTTTTAGAGAATTTCATTTGCTGTTGCTGGTGGGTGGGTGGGTGGGTGTAGGTGCAAGTCTCTTGCGTTTGTTATTTTCACCTTTAAAAAGGCGTGTATTGGCTGTTCTTCCATTCCTGCACAAGAGATGAGTGCTTTTGTGTGTAATAATGCAAAGCTTCTCTTTGTTCCTGTTTCTTTTTAGATTATTATTTATTATTATTATTTATTCAACATACACCGCCCTATCCCTGGAGGTCTCAGGGCAGTTCACAACAAGAAGATTAGACTTTAAAACTATTTCTTTTATCCTTGTACATTATAAAAAGATACTTTGCCTTGAGTATAAAATTTTGTATATCTTTTGATGAGTATCAATAAAAATGTTTTAAAAAAATAGAAATGTAAAACTGTGACCAGCCGTATGAAGGACTATGTTGTCTTGCTGTGTGTCATTTTCTAAGATTGCATGTGTTTGATTTATAAATGCTGCTATATTTACTTATTTCCATTTATTTAAAAATATCAATATTTTGCTTTCTGTCCAAATAGGTCCGCAGCAATGAAGCACAAAGCTGAAATACAATCATTGTCTAATAAAATAATTATTTAATACAATCATTTATGAAAGATTAAAAGCCCAAAGTAGATAAATAGTGGCTGGTGCTGCAATTCTAAAACGTACTTACTGGAACAGCCTTGCCCAAAATACGTAGTCCAAATGTTTGGGACTACAACTCCCACCAGCCAGGCTGTGCATGATCTTATATTCCTCAATCACGTCCACATCTTACTCATCATTTTGCGGAACTCAATAAGCCCCAAATGTTGCAACCTTTCCTCGTAAGGGAGTTTTTCCATCGCCTTGATCAGTTTGGATTACCCTCTTCTGAATCTTTTCCAAGAATCTCTTTTTAAAGAGTCCTGTGCTCATGGTTCTGAACAAAGGACTGATCTGAGCATAGGGATAAGGGAGTCTGGGGAGCCCTCTAGATATTGCTGGACTCCAACTCCCATCAGCCCCTGGCAGCAAAGCCCAATGGTCAGGGATGATGGGAGCTGGAGTTCAACATTACATCTGGAGGGCCACAGGTTCCCCCTTCCCTGATTTAGACACAGGTCCTAACCATTCAGGGATCACATACCGAATTCCCCTACGATGGTGTAAAGCAGTGTTCCCCCAAACTTGGGTCTCCAGCTGACTACAACTCCCATCATCCCTAGCTAGCAAGACCAGTGGGCAGAGATGGTGGGAATTGTTGTCTGAAAACAGCTGGAGACCCAAGTTTGGGAAACCCTGGTGTAAAGCAGGAATAGGGAGCCTGTGGCCCTCCAGAGGTTGCTGGACTCCAACTCCCATCAGCCCCAGCCAGCACTGGCCCAACAGTCATGGATGATGGGAACTGGAGTCCAACAACATTTGAGGGCCGCGGGATCCCCATCACTGTGGGGAAGTTGTGTTATACAAGCTATGACCCTTGTTCTGGGGAATCTTTTTCAGCCCAAGGCCCATATTACTTCCTGGGCAGCCTTCCAGGGACACAGTGGTGGGCAGTGCCAGAGTATAAAGTGGGTGCAGCCACAAATGCAAATACTGTAATACGTTTCTACATTAGGCTAGTTTCTACATACAGAGACTCACCCAGGGAAGCAAGAGATGTTTGATCTGGTTCAAGGCACATCCCAGCCAGAAACATTCAAGAAGGATGCAAAGCTGGGCATTTAAATCACTATGCTAGCACTTCCAACTGTCATGGCTTCCCCAAAAGAATTATGGGAGCTGCAGGTGGTGAAGGGGTACTGAGAGTTGTTAGGAGAACTGTGTTGTCACAGAACTACAATTCTCACGAGTAGTTTAACAACCAAGCCCGCTTCACGGGGAACTCTGGGACCTGTAGTTCTGAGCTCCTCTTAGTCCCCTCAGCAAACTACAGTTCCCAGGACTTTCGAGGGGGTGGGGACCAGACTGTTTTAAAAGCGGCATCATGCCTTTTAAAAACTGTAGCGCAGATGGCGCCAAGAAAAAGCAGACAGCTTTGCTGTTGTGTTTTGCTTTCTGACCCACGTGCAAGGACCCAGGGCGTGGCAGCGGCTGTTGTTGTTAGCGGTGGGGTGTGTGAGAGGCTGACTCCGAGCGGGTCTCTCCCGCGCTCTTTCCCTGCCTATCTCTCTGCGCGCAAAAGTCTCCGCAGCGAGTGTTGCTCTTACTCCGCCTTCCCTCCCCGTCCTAACCAGCCCCACCCAGCCCAGCCCGGGGCGGGTGCCTCCCTGGTGTATAAAGCTCGGCTCTGGGCAAGCTGCCCAGCTTGTAGAGAGAGCGAGATCGCGAAGCGAGGGCGGAGCAGTTTGGAGAGAGCGCTTGTCCGCGCCGTCGATCAGGCGCCACTGTGCCGCGGCTGTGCGTAAAGGCGCATCAAGCACACTCTTGGTTTTCTACTCTTTCACGAGAGAACCCCAGGCGTCCTCTCCAATGGAGCTGCTGCTTTTGCTGTGGGCCCCGCTGGTGGGCCTCTGGTGCGGGCTGTGCGTGGCGTCGGGAGAGCGGCACACCGTCTTTTGGAACAGCACCAACCCCAAGTGAGTTTTGGGGGAGCGTGGAGGGGAGAACCAAGCCCTCGTAGCCAGGGGCTGGAGAGTTATCATCGTCACCAATGCCCAGCCAGAATTTACTTTTTGCGCGTGTATAAAAGGGATGACCCTTTATTTTGGCGTCGCTCCCGCCCCACCCTGTGATAATGGGGTTGTGTTGGAGGGGTGGCATTTGGAGATCCCCGCCTTCTAACCAGGCACCCAGGGGACGCTTAGGGGTCCGGTTTCAGGGGGTGTTCCACTGGAGGCGCCTTGCAGGCGGGGAGCGCGGCCAACCTTGGCCAGTGATCGCCCCGTTGTTGAAAAATCTTCCGTGTATTGAATAGGTGTGCGTGTCTTTTTTGCGGGCAGAGGCTTCTTGAAGGAGGGTGCGGACGTTCAGGGAAAGAATGAGTTTCGCCTAGAAACCCCTTCGGTTAGATGTTAGCCATGGAGGGGTCGTTTTCCCTAGAAGTTGGAATACATCTGGGGAAGGGCCGTGGAGATTCTGAGGGGTGGGGATACAGTTGGAGGGAAATAGGACTCTGCTTCCATCCCGCTGATGGTTTGGTGGTTTTTGGCACCCTCCTACCTTCCAGCCTCGGTCTTTGCCCCTGTTAAGGGAAAAGGGGCAGCTGGCCCTTTAAATCTGGCGTGAAAGCTCTGCAGATGAAAGTTTTCCCTTTCTTTTCTCCCTTGTTCCCCCACCCCACCCCGCCTCTTTGCCTTAGCTCGCCCCCTCCTGTTCCTGCGCCTGCATTTTGGGCGAGGGCCACCCAGGGCAGCCCACCTCTGGCAGCCTGGCACAGATTTCCTTTGCCAGCCCCCAAGCCTCACGTTTCAGGTTGCCTCTGCTGCTACTCTTTCTTTGAAGGAGGCAGGTTTAGCTTTGCAAAATAGGGATGAGGGGTGGGTTCCTGGACCTTTGGAAGGAGGAGGAGCTGGTTGGGCATAAAAGCTGGAATTCGTAAACATCCACACGGTAGGCCTGCGCTTGGCACCCGGCCCGTACCTAGGCACCGTGACAGAGGCATGAATCAGGTCTTTGCTGGGAAAGATAGGGCAGTGCGGACGGAAAGGACCCTTTGCTTTCCGAGGTGGGGAGAGGGACGCCTTCTTCACCCCCTTTGCCCCTTGGGGTTCCCGGGTCCGGTTTAGAGCATTTTTGAGGAGCTCGTGGTTTTTAATGAGTTATGTCACGCCGGCTGTAATTTATGGATGACGCGCAAAGGACCGAAAAGGAAAAAGACAGGTTCTCTGCCCCAAGGAGCTTACAGATCTGTACTTCTGATGGCGCCTGTAGGAGACATCGGGCTTTTGTTTGCGTGCTGGGAATTAGAGGGTGGGGTGGGGTATTAAAAGTGGCCCACAGCCAAGGGGGCCAACTTGAATAAAATATTGGGGGGCGGGAGAGTAAGCCTCATCCCACATAATCGATCACATGACTTGGCTCACCATTTGAATGGCAATGCCCCCCTCAAAATAAACTCACAACAAGATGCATTAGGGAAGGAGGGAGAAGCTCTGCTTCTTGAGGTGTTGTTGCAGTTTGTTTCGTTTTTTTAATAAGAGCTGTAGGGGCTTGGGCCGAAATCCAACAGGTACGCCCCCTGGCATCTCTGGGAAGGCTCACCTGTTGAATAGCGGCACGGTTTTTCCCATTTGTTAAAAGGCCCAGAGATTGGTGGGGGCAAAGAGTTCCAGCCAGTTCCCGGGGACTGAAGAGTTAATCGCATTAAGCCATTGTTTTTATGCTGGAAGGTAAGGTGAGGGGAGGGAGGGAGGGAGAGCGAGCTGTGGTGCCTTTGTTCATTCTGCCTGTGTGTGAGAAGCACAGACATCTGTGTCCTGTTGTGCAAACCTCAAGGCCAGGGATCTGGCTGGCCCTTTCCAGGTGGCCTTCCCCCCCCCCCATGGCAGCTAGCTTGTGAGATTTGCCTGTCCCCCTGGCCTCGGGTCAGCTCAGCTCTGTGCTGTTGCCTTGGGTGGGTCTGATCTTGCTTAAATCAGAGCTTTTGTAAATGCTGGCACTGAGTCTTTGTAAAAGGCTGAGTGATTGTAGAAGTAAACCCTCCACGCCTAGGGGCAGTGTACCTCTGAATAACATTGCTGGCAGGGAGGTGAGGGCAGCCAGCAGGGGAGCACACAGCAGAGGTGTTGGGTTAGCCACTTCTGAAAGCAGAACGCTGGACTTTGAAAGAGATTTGGGCAAGTTTGTTAAGGCTATCTGCTGGGAATCGCATATGGGGAGATTTTCGGTTGAGCTCAGGTCTTGCTTTGGGGATTCCTGGAAGAGGCATCTGGTTGGGCACTGTGATCCAGCAGAGCTCTGCATCAGTGTTCGAAATTCAGATATATAATCTGATTGCCAAATGGCACCTTAAACCTCGGTTACGGTCGCCAGAACAGAAAGTCTAGGCAGCATTTTTATTTTGCAATGAAATTTATTATTAATTTCATTTTTATACTGCTTTATGTCCTAAAGAAAAAAAATCTCAGAGTGGTTTACAACACATTAAAATATCAGATTAAAAAAATGCAGAATAAAACAAATTCAGGCTTCAAGGGAAATATTTCAGATCCTTCTCTAAGTGACATTTGGCTTTTCCCATACAGTATTTATCTACCTGCTTAATTTGTAGAGCTGCCCCATAGCAGAACTACTCTAGGAAGGCAGTGTGGTGCAGTGGTTAGAGCAGGCTTCCTCAACCTCACCCCCCAGATGTTTTTTGGCCTACAACTCCCATGATCCCTAGCTAGCAGGACCAGCGGTCAGGGATGATGGGAATTGTAGTCTCAAAACATCTGGAGGGCCGAAGTTGAGGAACCCTGGGTTAGAGTGTCAGGCTAGGACCTGGGAGATCAGGGTTCAAATCCCCACTCAGTAAGCTTGCTGGAGTCAGTTGCAGACTCTTAACCTACCTCACAGGGTCATTGTAGGGGTAAACTGGGGGGGGGGGGATGATCCCATCGCATGGCAGATTCTCTGCAGTAGCATAAGTGGTGCAGGAATTGCACTTTGCAAATGCACAGAGGTTCCTTTCGTCTGTTTGTAACTAGATGTTCCCAGCTTGGCACTGAAAAGAGATGCTAGGACTCTTCAGCTTTGTAAGCCCTGGGGAGAGGCGTGCCTGTGGTGAGATCCTTTGGGGATTGATTTAGAAAAAAATATGTCCCTGGACTACAACTATAGCTCAGGTAGAGCATCTTCGTTGCATGGGGAAGATCCAGGGTTCTGTGTTCCTATTGGAGTCAGAACCATGAGGACTAGAATCTTAGTGTATTTTTAGGGGAAGGGCTAGGTGCAGCAAGGATCCAACTCAATATCAAGGAGCTTCCAGGGTTCAAAAAAACCTCCCATTGCCACTGACCATTGGACATGCTGGCTGGCTGTGAGTTGGCCTCTGGCGAGTGCCAAGTTGGCAAAGGCGCCTTGAGGATGATCTGCAGAGTTTTACTTCATTGCAGAAGATGAATCGGGTGGTGATTTCAAAGTTGTGCCTGTCTGCCCCCTGCAGATATTACTGGCCTCTTCTCTGCCTTTCACTGGTGCCTTAAACCCGCCGGCTGGCACTGCCAAGAGGGCAAAGTTCTCAAGCGGTGCAGGCAGCAGGTGGTGGGTCTTGGCCAGCAAGGCTGAATCAGCTTGGAGAAAGTTGGAAGAGAGCAAAGCCGCAGCTGGCCAGCCGCTCCTTCCTTTCCCAGGGTCCATCTCCCCCCTTCCTTACTAGCCCGTGGGCCTCTTCCTTCCTTCCCGCCCGGCGCTGGCGAGAGCCCAAGGGAAGGCGCCAAGGGCACGCGGGGCAGGAAATCTTTCTCCTTTTTTAAAAAACCAACATGTTGTTAAGATATATATTTTAACGTGTGTTTTTTCCGCCCAGGACGCTGGAGGCGAAACCGTCTTTTTGGCACGGAGGCTTAAGAGATGGCCAAGTCCGATGCCAACTTGGCTGGAGGGGCGGGATGGAGCGTGCAGCGGGGGGGGGGTGTTTTGTGTACAGCTCCTGCCCCTGCAGGGAGGAGGCAGTTGCTGTGACGGGTGAGAGTCCAGGCAGAGGAGATTGCAGGGCCCAGATGTGGCCACCTCTGGCAGGGTGGAAAACCCTGAGGCTGCTGTGTCTGGGCAGTTTCCTTCCAGGAAGGGCAGCCTTAATCGCTTTGTGTTGGCCTGTTGGTTGTCAAAAACGGCAGTGATCCATGCCATACTTTCAAAGCACATTGCTTCCTTTCCAAAAGGATCTTATCCCTCATGGAGCTACAGTTCCCAGCACCCTTAAACTACAGTTCCCAGGCTGGGAGCAATGGAAATTGGAATCGAACATCTGGGAGAGGACGCAGGCTCCCCAGCTGTGACTCCTTAAAGAACTATTGGACTTACCATGGCTTTGCCTTTCACGGTCAACTTCATCACTCTCTGGAGCAGCCGCTAGCCCATGCTGGCTGCAGATTATGGAGTTTGAAAGCTGCTGAACGCTAGCCCTGCTGAGCCCCAAATAGCCAGCATGCCCAGTGGTCAGGGATGATAAGATCTGTAGCCTGAAACATCTGGAGGACCAGTGTTCTAAACTAGCCAGGTGTGTTTGCTACTGGTGCGGGTCCAATTGCGACTACGTGGAGATTTCTGGGTGCCAGGTTTGGCGACCACAGTTTAGAAACTTCTGCATAGTTAGTATCATTTCCCCTGTGTGTTTCTCCTTCTTGCATACTGGGACAAGTGAATTGCTGTAAGAGCAAGCGACAGCCAAGCGCTGCAGTTGAGATCACAGAATCATAGCTTTGGAAGAGACACCATGGGGCATCTAGTCCAACCCCCTGGTGGATAGACATTCCATTGTGGCCACTGGTAACCAGGGTTTAAGGTGCTATATGGCGCTTAGCTTATATGCCTGAGGTTGTAACACTGCGTTCACCACCCCGACCTACAGTTCCTCATTCCGTGTTGTACTCCACTTTTATTCAGAGCAGACCCATTCACGACCTGGACTAACTTGGTTCCATTAATTTCAGCACACCTACCTTTTAAGTAAAAAGCAATTGACTACAACACATCAGTGCTATGCTATCCCGGCAAGTGGCTTTGGGTCACTGGTGCAAAAGGGACAGCAACTAAGAAAAGCGAAATAATAACGATGATAACGATCACCTTAGCCAGATCTTTGCTGTGTAGAATTAAATGCCCAGCCTTTGCATGCCAATAAACCCCCTCCTACAAAAAACAGAAAAAAAGCAAAAACCCTTCGAAAACCACCACCACCGGACCTGATGTCATCAGGCACCACTTGTCCCTGAGTGCATCACTCATTTTTACACTTTGCCGTCCCTTGGATCATGAATTTGGGGGCGCCAGCCGCATCTAAAACTCGTCTGCCGCCAGCTACCCCTATTGCAGCAAGCAGCCTTTCTGAATCTCAGTTGCTGGAAACCGCAGGATGGGGGAGCTGCTGTGGTGCTCAGGGTCTGTTGAGGCTCCCCATAAGCATCTGGTGTGCCCCTGCAGAACAGCACCCTGGACCTGTCAGGATTGGCACCCGCTGCCTTGTGACATCAGGCAGGCGCCTTCCCTGTACCCTTTGGGGCGCTTGCTAAAAGCGATTTTTTGTTTTGTTTTGTCAAGCCTATCCAGACATGTAGAAACCGCCGTGTGTTGTTAATCTGGTTTTCGCATATAGCTGATGTTGTTATTTTTTGGGAGTGTCTAAAAACACTTGCCTTTTTTTAAAGAGGATACTTCTGTTGTTGTCTTGCCGGCTGATTTGAGGGCTTGTGGCAGCCCAGCGGTGCATAAAGGTCCTGAAATAAATGGATGAGGCTCAGAAGGGCCACTGGCCCTTCTTGTTGCATTTGATTGCACTGTTTTGACAAGGATCAGCCAGCTGCTTCGGGATCTTCCAGGGGGTCAAGACTTCTGGGTGGTGCCCTGGGGTGAGGAGACAGACGGAGGGTGGGTGGGCGCCCCCCCAAGACCCTGCTGCTATCTCTGCACCTGAGGCCAAGATAAGGTGGATCCTTCATTGCTGCCTCCTGCCACCCGCCTCGGGCGGCCAAACCGGTTTGTGGGTTCGTTCTCCCGAGGAGTCTTTCGGTTTCCAAAGCTTCTGTGACTCAGGGCGGAGTCCCTCTTTCCACAGCTGTCTTGGCGAGGCTTTTAATAAACACCTTGGCTCTCTGCTGGGAATGTGGGCTAGCCCAGCAAGCTTCCAGGGCCAGCCCTGAAAGGGGGAAGCAATGCTCTTGTGTCGTGTGCTCAGTGGGTAGAGCATTTGCTTTCGATCCTGGGTTCAATCCCCAATGGCATCTCCAGGTAGGGCTGGGAGTATCACCTGTCTCCAATGCTGGCAAACTGCTGCCAGTCAGTGTGGACAGCACTGAGCTAGATGGGTCAGTTTTCTGACTCTGTATAAGGGAGCTTTCTGCGTTCCCATTTAAACTATTTTGAGCTGTGAGGACTGGAATCTTTCTTGAGCTTTCGCGCCGCAAACTTGCCCATGGAGGAAGCTGCCTTCTACCACTCGCCTAGCTCAATATTGTCCACACGGGCTGGCAGCAGTTCTTCCAGATTTCAGGCAGGGAGAAATTCCCCATCCTACCTGGTTATGCCACTGGATATTATCTCCAGATAATTTACAAGTAAGCCTGCTGACTTCAGTGGGTCTTACTCACAACTTTTCTTTCTTTGTTTTGTATCACAAAATCCTCAATAAAAACCTGTTTTTTAAAAAAACAAAAACACTAAGCACATGCAGGTTTGCAACCTAAGTTGTGACATCCAGACTCCCCCGTTCAAATCTCCCCTCTTTGATGGGCTCGCTTGATTAGCCTTTGGCCTCAGTGTTTCTCCCACCACCATCTGCAATATGGGTATAATGTAACTGATTTACCTTGGGGCTGTTGTAAAGATGTCAGCCGGATTAACATGTGTGCAGCAGTTCCAAGGCTCATAAACGCTGTAAAAAAAGTGGATTTTATTTTATTTTTTAGCAAATGGCCAGGCTGAAGTTTGTTCTTTCTTTTGGGCTGGGGGGTGGGTAGGGGAGCATCTGCCTTGCAGCTATAAGAGAGAGTTGCATAAAGGTTTATTTAAATGCATTTGGTCAACTTAAGAAAATAATAACACTTAGGTAAAGTGGCAATGATTTAGGTTAAGAGCCAGCCCCAAATAATTACCGGAGGGAGGGCGTTTCAGCAGTCTCCCACTTTGAGGAAGTTGTTTGTATGCATTGTTTTTATTCTATTCTTTAAAAATCCACCTCAAAGATATACAGGAAGAGCTTAACAAAAGCTCCCTTTGAGTAGCGTATGAAAGAAATACATGGAATCCATAGAAAAGCATGCATTACTTTGTCAGCGATTGAATCAATGGGTTTCCATTTTTTAAAAGTCCGTTTTCTCCCCTTTTTTCATCTGAATAGAATTGGCTGATTCCTTGTCATAGCCATATTGTTGTAAATTGTACTTTTCCAGCCTAGGATGTTGACGCTATTGGGGGGGGGGGGAGTTACGAAGGGATTCCTATCTTGCAAGGCTGTTTTGTGAGGATTTCTTGTAACTTTTGTTTTATTAGCGGGGAGGCGATGGAACTGTATGACACTTTTATTTCATGGGGGTGCTGGGGCAATTGAAATGGCATCGATTTCCAAACAGTGTCTGCTCTCCCCCCTGCCCACAAGCCTTCTACAAAGGGGTTAGGAGATAGTTTGTAAGAATTTCCTAGACGTTTCTCGCAACGTTAATTTTATTGGAGGATGGAGACGAAACGGACCGGCTTCAAAATTGTGTCTGCCTGTTCCACCGCCACCAACCTTGTCTGAAAGTGCCTACTTTACAGGGTTGTTTGTAAGGATTTATTAGAGGAACTTTATGCAGGCGTTAGAGTGGAAGCACTAATGTTGTTGTCATTCCCTCCTCCTGATACAGGTTTCAGTGGGATAGCTATGCCGTCAAGGTGAGGCTAAACGACTACCTGGACATCATCTGCCCGCACTACGAGGACAGCAGTGTGGCTCCTCACTCGATGGAACGCTACACCCTATACCTGGTGGAACAGGAGGAGTACGAGACCTGCAAACCGCGCTCGAAGGAGCAGATCCGGTGGGAGTGCAACAAGCCCGATGCCCTGCACGGCCCTGAGCGGTTTTCAGAAAAATTCCAGCGCTACACTCCCTTCACGCTGGGCAAAGAGTTCCGGGAGGGCCACGAATACTATTATATCTGTAAGTGTCCGTGGCAGAGAAACCACACACACACACCCTTACCAGCTGTCATTTATTTTTCCGTTTTAGCGCTCCTAAGATTTCTTAACTTGTGTCATTCTGAGACGGTGGAGGGTCACTTATTTAAGCCCATTTTACAGATGGGGAAAAAGGAGGCTGGGAACGAGAGGGCTACACGGTGGTTTTTATTTCTAACAGGCCCTGGTTATAGGACTTTAAGGGCCGACCTATAGGAGAGATCTGTCACGGGTTTTTCCTAACATTTGTGGTTTTGGTTAAGAACATCCACTGGGGTAGGAAGGTTTGTATTAGGGGGCATTTAACCCTCTTTTAAATCCATCTCAGCCAGAGGCCAAGGCTGAATTTTTCAGCAGTGCAGGGATTTGGGTCGGGTTTGTGAGTTGAGGACCCCCAGATCTCTTGTTTTGGGCCGGGTAATGAATTTGAGGGAAATAGATCAGGATTATTGAGTAGGATATACATTTTGCGGATTGAACTAAACTAAAATGACTTCTCTATAGGAAATTTGGGGGCGGTTAATGGGGCTAATCAAACTTTGATAGGAACAGGATTTGTTGATGAATTAATTTGGGCGGAGGGTAACGAATGAAAGAGGAGCTGATTTGGGGTGATCTGTGGTGGGGTGTAGTTTAATTGAAGAATTGAAGATAAGTTATGTGTTGTATAATTTTAGCCTCCACCCACCCACCCAAAATAGATGCACCAGTAAATAAAAATTAACAAAAGCTTCTCTAGTCCGTGTCAAGTTACCAGGTCTCAGATTTATATAGACTAGATGTCCCCCAATACCTACACAAAACCTCCTGTCTGTTTCAACTCTCGCCAATAAAAATCTCTTTCTCAATTCTTCCCTATTAGCAAAACCTATCCATCACCACGGAGAATCTTGCCTTAAATTGAAAGTCATAGTGGCTGCAAAGAATGGTGAGTTTTCTAGTGCCTGACACTGTCTGTCTGTCTGTCTGTCTGTCTGTCTGTCTGTCTGTCTCTCGTTAAACCCATGCCATTGTCCTGATCAAACTCCCCCCCCCCCCCCCGCTATCTGCCAAGTTCTGTAACAGCCTTTTGCAACCTGGTGCCCATCAGCCCTAGCCAGCATGGCCAGTGGGCAGGGATGACAGCGAAATTGGGGGGGGGGCACCAGCTTGGGGGAAGGCTGCCTTGGGGAAATAAAACAGATCTGATATGAGTCCCTGTCTCCCCTCCACTTCCTATTCCATAAGGTGAGATACTTGGCAGTTTGGTGGGGAGCGATATAAATTGGGATAACCGTATGTGAGAGAGAGGAGAGGAAAAGGTTTATACTCTCCTCCTACCTGAAGCTAATACTCTGGTCTAATCTCAGCCCCCACTTTTTTATGTGACTGCTCTTGAGCCTAGTAATAATACCTGACACACGTCAGTATTTAAAACTGTTTGCCTGTATCCTCTCCACCAGGCCTCCTCAACTTCGGCCCTCCAGATGTTTTGAGACTACAATTCCCATCATCCCTGACCACTGGTCCTGCTAGCTAGGGATCATGGGAGTTGTAGGCCAGAAACATCTGAAGGGCTGAGGTTGAGGAAGCCTGCTCTCCTTGCAAGGGGTATTGCCCCCTAGTTGCATATAGTATTGCCCCACATCAAGAGAACAGGGGCTGCAGGCTGAGATTTAAGCTGGGGTTGAGAATTATGGGCTCAGTATTTAGGTTGGCTGTGTTCTGGGGGTCCGGCCTTCACTGTGTGTCTCTGTTCGCTTTTAGGTCAGATGCCCCCCAGCCGCAGCCCCACCCTGAAGGGGAGACCTCAGTCAGGTAGGTCCAGGGGAGAGAGTTTGTTCTGTAGGGGTGGGGGATGTGGAGGTGCCGCAAAGAGGGGTGGCACAATCAGCCATTTGCAGGGGACCCATTGACAAGAGACCCCTCTGAACCTGCATCTCCTCCTTCCTCACTCTTGCCACCTAATAATAATAATAATTTATTATTTATACCCCGCCCATCTGGCTGGGTTTCTTCCAGCCACTCTGGGCGGCTTCCAACGGAATATTAAAATACAATATCCTATTAAACATTAATAATCAACATGCTTTTCCACCCCCCTCGCACTCAGGCCCAGGCAACAGGGGCGGTGAGAATGAGGCCACACACCCCAACACGCATTTATACCATTACGGTACTACTTTAAACAGTCGTGGATTCCCCTCAAAGACTTCTGGGAGCTGTAGTTTGTTATAGGTGCTGAGACACACACACACACACACACACACACACACACACACACACACCCATTCCCCTCCCGGAGCTACAATTCCCAGAGTGGTTTAACAATTAGTTCCTCTTCCCTGGGAACTGCAGTTCTGAATTTCGGGGTAGGGGTGTCTCATATCAGCTCTCAGCTCCCTCAGCAAATAAGATTTCCCAGAATACATTGGGGGGAACCGTGACTTTTTAAAGTGCCGTCGTAGTGCTTTAAACGTATGGTGGTGCGGGTATGGCGGGGAAGAGAAAGGAGCTGGCAGAAATGGTGGTGAGGAAGAAGACTCAAGGAGGGAAAATGGAGGGCGCCAGACCTCCAAAAGGACGGAAGTGAGTGGGTTTAGGAAGTGGTTCAGGAGGAGAGGATTTGAATTTGGGTTGAATTTTGCGTGCCACATAATTATTTTATTTTTTAAAAGCGTTTATTAATTTTCCAATGCTGTATTATTTTTAACACTTGATTGGAAGCCGCCCAGAGTGGCTGGGGAAACTCAGCCAGATGGGTGGGGTATAAATAATAAATTATTATTATTATTATTCCAATAAGAACATCCAATTAACATATAAAATCCAATAAAAATAAAAAACTACAATAAAAAAGTCCAATTGTAATCTTGGACTTCCAAATTGTAATCTTAATTTTTTTGACTTCCCACGGTCTGAATTCCAAAGCATTTCCCACCTCATAGTCCTGCCTCTCATCATCCCACATATTCTCGTCCTATGTGCCCAACTTTGCTGTTTACCAGACCCTTTTCTCACCTGCTTGTCTCTCTTTCCCCCGGCAGACGACCCTGATGCAACGATGCTTCGCAGCGTGGGGCACAATTCGGCCCCCCGTCTCTGCAGCCCCTTCACCTTCGTCCTCCTCCTGCTGCCACTGCTGATGCCACAGGGGCCCTGATGGCACCCAGTTCCCCAGCTTGAAGCCATCAGCAAAGGGGGCAGCACCTGTTCTGTTGCTGCCACCCCCCTGCAACACAGTGTGGTGTGGGGGATGCGAGTCTCCATGTGCCCGCAATGCCTCCGTGTGATGCGGTGGTGCACCAGTCGGTTTTAGCAGGCTGAGCGCCGGGATCAAATCGCCGGCAACCCTATGAGGGATGTGGCTGGTGGGGTCTGGGACTGGTGAGGGGTCTTGTGGACAGATATATGCCTCCAGCAGACAGACATGGACCAGATGGGGACTCTCTTTGGCTCCCCGGCGGCAAACAAGGCTTGGATGGATCCGGCCCTGCCACAAAGGTCGTGGCGCTGAGTTTCCTGCGGGCAGGAATGACACCTTGTATCACGCCCTGTTGGTGGTGCTTATGGATTTTTGGGCACACCATGAAACTGGAAAAACACAGTTACCTTGGGACGATGTACAGTCAAAAAAAATTGTGACTATCAAACAGGCAGGCCCTGGAATTTTTGGAGTGGGGAGGGATCCTCCGTTTTGTGTGCCCCGCTTTGACGACGACTCTTCCCCCTGCCTGCGCCGAGTTCAGAAGACCGCTGCCTTGTACCTAAAAGGTTCAAACTGGAGACCAGTCGTGTTGAGGATGTGTTGCCCTGTTAGATCAGACTGAGGGGTTCACCTGGTCCAGCATCCTGCTTCTGGCAGTGGTCAGCCATTTATCTCCAGGAAGCACTACCAGTCCTCCCCGTGCCGCTTACCCATGGCCACCATCAGCTTCTGGTATACTGCCTCTGCCCAGGGAGGTTCCATTTTCAAATCTGGCAGGATGGCGGACATTTTGTGTCTTGTGTACGCAAACCTGTTGAGGACAGCAAAGGGCAATGCCCCTGTTTGGCACACGGCGATATTCAATCACAAGGACAGAGAAATGAACAGACTGCGAAAAAAATATATTTCTGTGTGCGGAGGGGAAGGGGAGATAATGTTGTAGAGCTTTTTACCTCTGTAAAATATATATATATCTATTTTTATACTGAATAAATAACTCCAGAAGAAACGTGCTTCATCAGTGTTTGTGCTCCGCTGCAGTGCTGATCCATATGAACTTGGAGGTCACCTCTGGTGTAGGGGCAGAGCCCGGGAATGGGAGGTGATTTGAATATTGAGGGGTGGGGCCTGGTGGTGGAATTGGCTGTTTTTTGTGGGAAATGGGCTATTTGCAGTCTGAGTGGCAGAGACTCCGTTTGGGCCTTGAATATTTTGGAGACACTTTTCCCCCTACAGATCCTCTTGGTATATCTACTACTCTCAGGTGTTCAGGGTGTCATGGTTTGTCCACGGCAGTGCCTAAGTCATGGGTAGGCAAACTAAGGCTTGGGGGCCAGATCCTGCCCAGTCGCCTTCTCAATCTGGCCCGTGGATGGTCCAGGAATCGGCGTGTTTTTACATGAGTAGAATGTGTGCTTTTATTTAAAATGCATCTCTGGGTTATTTGTGGGGCATAGGAATTTGTTCATTTTTTATTTTATTTTTCAAAATATAATCTGGCCCCCCACAAGGTCTGAGGGACAGTGGACCCTGCTGAAAAAGTTTGCTGACCCCTGAAAGTTGTGGAGTTTCCACAGAGATGTATCCACCACCTACATTACAAAGCGTCAGTCCTTTGCTGAAGATGCACTCTGGTCTTTGAGACCAGATACATATTTTTGGACCCACCCTCTTACCTTAATCTGTTTTAAACTGATTTTTAATGCGGTTTTTTATTATTACTGTAACTAGCTGCCTGGAACCTGATGGTGAAGGGGCAGCTAAGAGATTGAAATAATAATTACTATTTAGTTAGTTATTTGAGACATTAATGCACCGCTTAAATATCCGCATTTCTAAGTGGAGTGTGTAAAAATAAATATCGCAGAAAACAGGAAGATTTTTTTTAAATTATCATATAAATGAGCACCACCTTAACATGCCTGTTGGAACAAGGGAAATTGTAGCAACGGAAGTATAGCAAAAACCGACAAGTCAGGCTAGCTCAGGCTTCCTCAACCTCTGCCTTCCAGATGTTTTTGGCCTACAACTCCCATGATCCCTAGCTAGCAGGACCAGTGGTCAGGGATGCTGGGAATTGTAGTCTCAAACATCTGGAGGGCTGAGGTTGAGGAAGCCTGGGCTAGCTTTTGCTGTTAAATATTCTGTCACCTGCATTTTTACTTTTCCCCTAGAAAACCCAGGGAAGTAGGACAAAACGTCAAATGTTGAGACTTGGGGAATTTTACTGATCTTTTAAGATTGGTTTGCTACTTTTCTAGATACTTTTGGGACAGTGTGTATCATGCGACACACACACACCCTTTCCCTTGGGCATGCTACAATGGCTGCTTTTTGGTATTTCTACGGGAGTTTTTTATTATTAATTTTGTCAATGAGGCCATTTAACCTTTCTTTTCCATAAAGCAGCGGAGCGTTGTTTCCATTTTACGGACCAGAGACCTGGTGAATGATTAACGTCGCAAGTTGATGCTAATCAGGGACTGGTTTAAAACCAGAGTATTCGTTGATTCCAATCTCTCTGCTACATTGCACTAGCAAGTGGGGGCGCGTGCATATGAGAACTCTCTGCTTTCGTTTTAAACAACCCCCTGCCAAGATTCTAGTCCTTAAGGGCTGCACAAATCCGCTTGACAGTGTGTGGACTATGTTTCTAAAAACCCCAGATGGAGGAGTTGCTGAATAAAGACTTCCAGTGAACGGAGAGGGTGAGAGTTTCGCACTTCTGCTGTGAGCAGCAGCAGCAGCAAGTTAACTTGGTTTTCAAAGGAGTGAAAAAATAATGGAAATGTGTGACATTTGAGCACCTGCACTGAGTTTGCTTAGTTCCAGAACAGTTCTGCAAAAATTACATTGCCTTACATTTGTTTTTAATACATACGTACTAGGTAAAGTAAAGGGACCTCTGACCATTAAGTCCAGTCTGGGGTTGTGGCACTCATCTCGCTTTACTGGCTGAGGGAGCCAGTGCCGGAGCGGTACCTATTTATCTACTAGGCTCTGTGGTTTAGACCACAGCGCCCCCCGCATCCCACTGTACTGGCAAATGTTAAAGGGTAAATCGTCAAGAAGGCATCAGCTCCTTGCCCCATGGAGCTTAAAATCACAAATTTACCCCAGGGTAGGATGCAAGGGAGAGAAAATTTGGGGAAAGGTAGAGATTCAGTCAAAATGTACAGTGGTACCTCGGGTTACATACGCTTCAGGTTACGGACTCCGCTAACCCAGAAATAGTACCTCGGGTTAAGAACTTTGCTTCAGGATGAGAACAGAAATCGTGTTCCGGCGGTGCGGCGGCAGCAGGAGGCCCCATTAGCTTAAGTGGTGCTTCAGGTTAAGAACGGTTTCAGGTTAAGAACAGATCCCCGGAACAAATTAAGTACTTAACCCGAGGTACCACTGTACTGTACTTAGTTTTGCCTTTTAGTAAGGGACAAGGACTAAGATGGGAACAGGCTCAGGGGCCAAACGTACCTCTAGCCCTGAATATTGGGCCCTCAAGATTTTCCCCAGGTCATGCCCATTCCTGAGCCACACCCCTTACCAGCCCTGCTGCATACCTTGCTTGAGCTTCTGCCCAGCTGCAATGTGTCTTGGAGCTCGGATCATGCCTTTTCCTTGCCTGGGTGGAGAATAGAGAAGGGCGTGTGAGAAACTAGCCTACTTTGCAAAGGTAAAACGTAAGAGTCATTTCCCCCACCCACCACTTCCACAGGCATGTGGCCCCCGGAAGCTTCCCCAGAGAGGAATGTGGCCCTTGGGGTGAAAACAATTTCCCATTGCCGGACCGAGATAGTTGCGCCCAAAGGGTTTAGGGGAGAAGGGTTTGGAGGAGGCTTTTGAGACAAAACAGGAGGGATGATCACAGAGTGATTCTCTGCCATGTACCTCTCAGGGAAACCTGTAGAAAGGTGAAAATGTAATTGGTTTGTTGATGATGCATCAGCAGCAGGGGGCTTATCCGACAGTCGCAAGTCATGGAAGCAATTTGTCTGGTGCTGTGGACTTGTCTGTGTTTTGTTATTGTGGTGCATTCGGAGTCGGGGAAAGTGACCCGGCCCAGACAGGCGGCTGTTACTCAGCTGAACCACAGCGGCTGCTTTTGTGGTCTTTGTCAAAAGTTGGTTTTAGGGTCACTGTTTTCTTGTGCTTCCTTTGGTTTTGTTTCGTTAGCTGGAATACAATTCCTTTCCCATATCTCCGTCACATCAGGGAGAGGCTGATGATTCGCAGGCTCAGACGGGTGTGAGACAGATCATCTGTGGTCTGATCTTGTGACTTCTGTTTTTATCTTCTGTGCTTTAAAGCAGACTGGGGCTGCAGACACACCATACTTTTAAAGCACAGCCCTGCTTCAAGAACCCTGGGAACTCTAATTCACCCCTCACAGAACTACAGTTCCCACCAGCACCCTTAACAAACCAGTTTGTTAATAATGGAGGGTTTGTTTGTTTGTTATATTTATAAACCTCCACCTTTGTCCAAGGAGCTTAAGGTGGCAACATATAGTTTTTCCCCTCCCAATTTCATCCTCACAACAGCCCTGTGAGGTAGGTTAGGCTGAAAGATGTTGACTAGCCCAAGCCCATCCATTAAGCTTCATGCCTGAGTAGGGATTTGCACCCATAGTGTGACAATCTCTAAGCACTACACACACATCATAGATTTAAAGCACATTATTAAGCCCAAAGAATCCAGGGAACTGTAGTTTCCCCTCCCTGCACGGTGCTACAGTTCCCAACATCCTTTTAAAAACTACAGTTCCCAGGATTCTTTGTGGAAGGGAAGGCGCTTTAAACGTGTGTTGTGTCTGCAGCCTCAAAGAAGGGAAGGGTGATGCTGATTTTCATGGAGGCAGTAGAAGTCACAGGCTGTTGAAATAACCTGGAGGGAAAGGATTTTGCACCCCCTCAAAATAAAGCCCCTTAATGCTCCTGCCTTAAGTAGGGTGAAATTAACAGCAGGGGATCTGACTGCACTTTGCTTGACAAGGCCTAGTGCAGGAGGTGAGGCCTGTTAGTACAGTAGTAAGTTGTGCGGGGATTGTATGGACTCGGGGCACAGAGCCCCCTATAGGTATGGAAAGGTATTGAGACAGCAATATCGGTCCTGGCCATTGGCTGCCCTGTCAGCATGAAGCCTCGGGATTGGCTGGGACTTGTTATAAAACTCTTTAGGCCTCCTCCCAATATTCCACAGAGGAATCTCTGGGAGTTGATGTGGTGTCTGACAAAGCCCACATTCACACCATACATTTAAAGCACTACAATACCACTTTAAACAGCCATGGCTCCCCCCCCCCATGAATTCTGGGAGTTGTAGTTTAAGGGTGCTGAGAGTTGCTATGAGATCCCTCTTCTCCCCAAGCTGTAATTCCCCAGTTCCCGGGGAAGAGGGATTGATTGCTAAGCCACTTTGCAAATTGTTGCTCTGGGAGGGGGAATCCTAACAATTCTCAGCACCCTTAACAAACTACAGGGGCGAGACCTGGGTTCAAATTCCTGCTCTGCCATGTACTTCAGACCCTCCAAGTGTCCCTGATTTCCAGGGGCAGTCCGGATTTACAGAAGCCGTCCCAGTTTCTTATTTTATCCCAGAATGTCCGCTTCTCCTTAGGATATCCCTATTTTCATCGGATAAATGTTGGAGGGTCTGGTACCTCACCATGTGACCTTGAGCCAAATGTTCTTTCTCAACTGAACCTCACAGGGTTTTCATGAGGCTCAAATGGTGGCCATATATATAGCCTTGTTCTCTGTGGCTAGATGAAATTGGAAAGTCTTTGGTACTTGTAAAATCCCTTTTTTTGCTCCAAAGGTGTTTGCCTTTGTACCAACACACACACACACACACACACACACACACATAAAAAATTGCATGTTGCTCAAAGCTTTTTGTTCACTTAACCACATGCTGTACACCTTTGGAGTGAGGAAAGACATGACCTTTCAAAATGGATTGGAACTGGTTTTGAAAAACCTATGCAGGGGTTCAGGTCTGCAACCAGACCACCTCTGCCACGCTTGCAAATGTTCCATCCATCTGTCCTGCAGAGCCTTCAGAAGCTGCCTTGTGCTTATAGCAAGCTGATCGCACTCAATTTCTATTTTTATATATCATGTCTGAAATGTGTCAGCCCTCCTGCTCGGCCCTCTGGGTTTCAGAGTCTTTTGAAACTTAGGAATGCTTTAGCTCACAGATGAACCTCTTTGCACAGCTAAAAGTCCTGTGGCACCAGGGGGGAAAAACTTAAGCAGGTGGTGATGGCACAAAAGAAAATAGATTGTAGACTAGTCGAATCCGCTTTGTCAAATGCTCGCCTTTGGCAGGCAGTTTTATATATTTGGGTGTAAAGTATTGTAAGCCGTGAGGTTAAAAGGAAATAACAAAGGTGAAGAGTACAGAATGAGGGCTTGCTGGGATACAGCCAGTGACCCATCTAGTTCAGCATCCTGTGGTGAGCGTGGCCAGAAACAAAAGTGGGTAGAGCAAATAATTTAAATTTTATCTTGCTACCGTAGGCTAGATTTTATGTGTGCACACATCTTCCTCCAGAGAAACAAAATGTATAAAAATGGTTCAGGGACATGGTATGGCCAGGAAAAAGCACTCGATGAAAGCAGGGCGTGTTTCTGTGAGAGGTGTGGCCTTGGCGAATGTCCTGAGGGCCAGATAAGAGAGGCTTAAAGGTAAAGGGACCCCTGGCCATTAGGTCCAGTCGTGGCTGACTCGGGGGTTGCAGCGCTCATCTCGCTTTACTGGCCGAGGGAGCTGGCGTACAGCTTCCGGGTCATGTGGACAGCATGACTAAGCCGCTTCTGGTGAACCAGAGCAGCGCACGGAAACACCGTTTACCTTCCCGCCGGAGCGGTACCTATTTATCTACTTACACTTTGTGCTTTTGAATTGCTAGGTTGGCAGGAGCAGGGACCGAGCAAAGGGAGCTCACCCCGTTGCGGGGATTCAAACCGCCTACCTTCTGATTGGCAAGTCCTAGGCTCTGTGGTTTAACTCACAGTGCCACCCGTGTCCCCAAGAGAGGCTTAGAGGGCCGCATTTGGTCCCAGGGCCTAAGATTCCCCACTCTGGTCTTCTTAAAATGAAACATTCTTCCTCTGTCCCACCCTACCCGCCCCCCAAAGAAATTATCCAAATGGCAAATAGGAACAGCTGGAACATTTGGAAAGCCGTCTCCCTTTCTAGCTGCCTGGAACGTCCCTCCTGCCTTCCGCAGATGAGGCCCTCTGAGCTGGAGCTGTTGACCTTCGCTGCCCTGCCCGCTGGGGTTCTTTTGATTAGCTAATTAATTAACTGGCTTTACAAAGGGAGGAAAATTACCCCGGGGAGGGGTGGGGAGAGAAAATTAGCAAAGAGGGCGATGGGTTGGAGGCGAGAGTAAGCTGTGCTTATTGAAATGCCTCTAGGCTGGGTTTCTCCAGAAGAGACGATGTATGGAAGCTACAACCCCGCTTGCCAGTTTCAAATAAGGCAGGCACGTTCAACTTCCAAGCGACTGCGATCTACTCCCAGTATAAAAAAACTGGCTTGTTGTGACCAAAGTTGTTGAGCTGGGGGGGCCATCGACCAGAGACAACCCCGCGATGGACCAGTAGATCGCGATCGACCAGTTGGACATGCCTGAAAGAAGGCTTTGGTCCTATGGTACCACTTTGAACCGCCATGGCTTCCCCCAATGAATCCTGGGAGCTGCGGTTTGCGTGGGGTACCCAGAGTTGTGAGGTGACCGCTGTCCTCCCAAAGCTACAATTCCCAGAGTTCCCTGGGAAGAGGGGTTGATTGGGTTAACTGTTCCTGGGAACTGTAGTTTCTTGAGGGACCTGAACATTTCCTCTCCCAGAACTACAATTCCCAGAGTGGTTTAATAATCAATCCCTCTTCTCTGGGGAACTCAGGGAAGGGAAAGACGGTGGATTCTGTACAATTTTCAGGACCCATAACAAACGACAGTTTCCAGAGCTGTCGTCTTTGAGGGGAAACCATGACGGTTAAAAGTGTTATCACAGTGCTTTATGTTCTTGCTGCTATTTTATTATTATATGCCTCAAATCTGACTGGGTTGCCCCAGCCATATTTTGTTCCCAACAAAATATTAAGAACGCAATAAAGCACCAGCCATGAAAAAACTTCCCTTTACCCTTCCCTACCCTACCCTGTCATTCCGGAGGTGCCCCACTGAGTCTGGTTAATCTCAGCGCTCTTTATCCTGGGAGCTTTTATCAAAACTGTTGCTATCTCTGCGTGGGATACTGACAAGTCCAGGTGGTCTAATGAAAGTCGATTTGGTGCTCCTACGCAACAGATCTGCTTCCCAAAACAACTGGACTTCTTGCAAGAACAAAAGTGGCTGAGAAGAATGCACTGGAAAGGTGGGAAAATGCTTGCTTGAGCCAGCTAATGACTCTCCTGCAAATAAATCTGCATGGATTCTCAGTAAACGGTTTGTCATGGTCTCACTTCCCCACAAACTCTGTGCAGGCAAATGTTTGAGAAATAAGGTAATCTGGAAGCCACTTTTCTGGATCTGGGAAACGGTTGTATAGCTCAGTGGGTAGAGCATCTGCTTTGCATGCAGAAGGCTGCAATTTCAATCATCAACATCTCCAGGTAGTGTTCAGAAAGCCTCTTGCTGAGGTCGTAGAGTTGCTGTATTCTGAAGAGCAAAAAAAGAAGAAGACACTTTTATGGCCATTCAAGGCAAATAAATTCAACTTGTCCCAAATTTTAGCCCTCAGTTTCTCATTCTTCAAATCTTAAATTCAGTCCTCCACATCCCACAGCAATTTATTTTTTAAATTGTCATTAAAATTCATCTGCAGTTAGTGCAAATTTCTCCCAATAAACACATGTCGTTTATACTAACTTGGGAAAGCAATTTCCCCAAATTTGCATCCGTATATGTTATTTTCACTAGGAAATTCCCCAATATATGCATTTCTCTTAATGTTGTTTGTTTGGAGAACTGCGTCGTGAAATTCGGATAAGTGCCAATTTCGAGGGACTGCTGTGTTTTCGCTTCTGGAAGGAGCAAATTTAATAGATCCTGTTTTAAAGGCATACTGGATTAAAATGTCTCCTTCAACCCTCCTCCTGCCTCAAACTACTGTGTAGAGAGCTGTTGCGGTTAGTCTGTGCAGACATAGTATGGAGGTAGATGAACCAAGGGCTCAACTCAATATAATACAGTGTATCTCCCTATGTTCCAGATCTCAGTCAAGATCAAACTGCAGCCTCTTCCTTTGTTACATACAAAAACACCTAGATTGCATCATCCTTCGCTGGGAGGTGGGGATAAGTGTTTTGTTTCCCAGCTATTCAAAAGGCAGGCTATTGAGAACAGTCAGCCAATCTCCCTAACCAAAAACGTTTATGTGCTTGGCAACTGTGCTAGGATGATTAAGTCCGCAACAATATTCCTGGCTCCATCAAGCCCTCTTCTACAACACAGTTCCAATCTTATGGCAAGTTGTTATATGTACCGTATTTTTCACTCTAAAAGACGCACCAGACCACAAGATGCACCTAGTTTTTGGAGGGGGGAAACGAGAAAAAAAATATTCTGAATCTCAGAAGCCAGAACAGCAAGAGGGATCGCTGCGCAGTGAAAGCAGCAATCTCTCTTGCTGTTCTGGCTTCTGTGATAGCTGCGCAGCCTGCATTCGCTCCATAAGACGCACACACATTTCCCCTTACTTTTTAGGAGGGAAAAAGTGAGTCTTATAGAGCAAAAAATACGGTACTTGTAATTATCATGCTTCATCCAATTTCCATTTTCCGCAAAGTTTACGTATATATGGTGCAAGGTCTGAAGAAAGTAGCTGTTTCTTTTCTTTCTGTATCTATTTATTTTTGCTTTCTCCCATAAAACTAGAATTCAGGGATTCTTTCCCTGAATTCAGTCAAATAAAATAATGGAGGAGAGGTTTTTTAATAATTATATTTGTATTCCCTGCTCCCCTTCGTCCAAGGAGCCCCACCCAGGCTTCATGATCCACACCATACATTTAAAGCACGCTATTTTCCCCAAATAATACTGGGAACTGCAGTTTACCCCTCACTGAGCTGCCATCGGTGGCACCTATAACAAACTACAGTTCCCAGGATTCTTGAGGGTGGGAAAAGGCACTTTAAAGCAGGCAGCCTAACATTTCCCATTATTAGCTAAATAAAGCCTCCGGGTTCAGAGGCAGTATACATTTGAATACTGAACGAGATGGAAAAAACGTCATGACCCAGTATCAGGATGCATCCCACGTCATTTTAACCTGCACATCTCACAATAAATAAGGTGTAGCTGGAAAATATGACACAGAAAATATGACAAAAGATCCTGCCCCCTCTCTGTTCCACAGTCACAGCTGTGCAGGTGTCCTGCTGTCTATATTTTCCAGGCCCCAGGCAACTGCTCCCTGTGTGTTGCAAGCAGTGATCTGAAAGCACAGCTGGGTGAAGGCCGGCCGGCGTCTCCTGTACCAAGATGGCAGCCCTCCCGTCAACAGCAAGGCAGAGTCAAGAGAGGTTGCGATTGGAATTGCTCAGTTTTCTAGAAAAGGATGAGGAAGAGTTCCAAGGGCCAGAGAGAGAGGTGTCTGGGGGCCGTATTTGCATAACCTCCAACATTTCTTCGATGAAAATAGGGACATGCTATTCCATGATGATGATGATAATTTTATTATTTATACCCCACCCCTCTGATTGGATTGCCCCAGCCACTCCGGGCAGCTTCCAACACATATGAAAACATAATAAAACATTAATACAGTGGTACCTCGGGTTAAGAACTTAATTTGTTCTGGAGGTCCGTTCTTAACCTGAAACTGTTCTTAACCTGAGGTACCACTTTAGCTAATGGGACCTCCTGCTGCTGCTGTGCCGCTGCCATGCAATTTCTGTTCTCATCCTGAAGCAAAGTTCTTATTTCTGGGTTAGTGGAGTCTGTAACCTGAAGTGTCTGTAACCTGAAGCGTCTATAACCTGAGGTACCACTGTATATATGTATTTTAATAACTTCCCTATACAGGGCTGTCTTCAGATGTCTTCTAATGGTTGTATAGTTACTGATCTCCTTGGCTCGGATGGTCGCATAACTCCACAGCCTCCAACATTTCTCCGATGAAAAATAGGGACGTCCTGGGGAAAGCGGGACATTCAGGGATCAGATCAGCAACCAGGATGGCTTCTGTAAATCTCTGGAAAATAGGGACACTTGCAGGGACTGCATTTGGCCCACCCTGAAGTTCTAGCGCTATGAGATGGAGCGCAATATCTCTCTCCACTCACACAGACGGATGATGTCACAAACCTCTGCCATGTTCCTCCTCGGCTGCCTTCCTCCCTCACCACCAAAAGAAAACAAGGAGCCAAAATGTTTGACTTGTTCTTTGTGTACAAAATGTTGTCATTGCTGCTTCTCAAGCCTGTAGACTTTTTTGGGTTCCCACAGTGCGCCGGCTCTGAGCCAGGTCAGTCTCAGCACTGGTCTAACCGGCACGGCAATTATAATGTCGTGGCATAAGTAGCAGCTAGATGAGCATGACAGACGCGGAGGAATGAGTGTGGCGGTTAGGCTGACTTGGACAATCAGGCAGTTTACAGAACACCTAAGTATTTTTATGGAATAAACCTACTAGACACTCGTCACCTAAAGGTCTGCATGCAGCTTACATGAAAGAAAAATACAGGTCCATACATAATACCTTGATGACATATGCGTCAACATTTTTCCAATGAAAATAGGGACATCCAAAGGAAAAGGGACGTGGGTGGCGCTGTGGGTTAAACCACAGAGCCTAGGACTTGCCGATCAGAAGGCTGGCGGTTCGAATCCCCGTGACAGGGTGAGCTCCTGTTGCTTGGTCCCTGCTCCTGCCAACCTAGCAGTTCGAAAGCACGTCAAAAGTGAAAAGTAGATAAATAGGTACCGCTCCGGCGGGAAGGTAAACGGCGTTTCCGTGCGCTGCTCTGGTTCGCCAGAAGCGGCTTAGTCATGCTGGCCACGTGACCCGGAAGCTGTACGCCGGCTCCCTCAGCCAGTAAAGTGAGATGAGCGCCACAACCCCAGAGTCGGCCACGACTGGATCTAACGGTCAGGGGTCGCTTTATCTTTACCTTTAAGGAAAAGTGGGACATTCCGGGATCAAATCAGAAACCTGGAAAATAGGGTCTGTAATGTGGGGAGGGGGGTAGCTGGGAGAATAATACAGTGGTACCTCAGGTTAAGTACTTAATTCGTTCCGGAGGTCCATACTTAACCTGAAGCTGTTCTTAACCTGAAGCACCACTTTAGCTAATGGGGCCTCCTGCTGCTGCCGCACCTCCGGAGCACAATTTCTGTTCTCATCCTGAAGCAAAGTTCTTAACCTGAAGCACTATTTCTGGGTTAGTGGAGTCTGTAACCTGAAGCATATGTAATCTGAAGCGTATGTAACCTGAGGTACCACTGTACGTTAATATTTCATGTAACATGCAACGTATTGAAAAACGAAAACCCCATAAGCAGTAACCAAGAACATTAGTGAAACTCAAAGACTAGACAAAGCAATATTCCAACCCACAAAACCTCAACCCCTTTGCGAGTCCAAAAACCAAATCACTTCGACCCAACAATTCCCACCCCCCCTTAACCTTCCCACCCCACCCAGAAGTCTGGTGTCAGGCTAGCTGCCGCAGATCAGCAGTGGGTGGGCCAAGGGTCCATGCCCCTCAGCTGTCCCGTTTTAAACGGGACATCCCAGATTTACAGAAGCCATCCCAGCTTCTGATTGGATCCCAGAACGTCCCATTTTTTGGTGCGGTGCCAATGGCGCAGCTACTCAGCCAGATATTCACCTGGATTTAAATTTCCTTTGTTCACCTTTTAGTTTGGTAGGTAATGGTTAATCATTGTAAAACCATAATAAAATCAAGTTTCCTTGGTGGCATCTTTTTATATTTGCCTTGCAACATTAGGTTCTTGGCTTGCTTTGCAGTGATCATTCTCAGAATTGGGATAGCCTTGTTAAAAAGCAGGGCACACACACTATATAAAAGAATATAAGCCTGCCTCGCTACCCAACCCGTCCTCTCCCCCCTCTTCTTCCCCAACCCTGTACAGCATAATGTCTCACAACAAATGTAACTGATTTGTAAGGAAGACTGTACAACCTGAAAAAAGAGAGACAAGGCATGTGCTTTTGTAAACCAAGAAAATCTTTCATTAAAATAAATTTAGGGGAAAAATAGGATGCATGCCTGCCTTTTGTCATACTGAGCAATGGGTACAATTTTTAAGAAACCAGCAAGATATTTCCCCTTAATACTTTGTTATCAGTGGAAAGCTGAATAGAGTCTGGGGTTGCTACAGGCCACACTGAACCATAACTAACCCTCTGGGGGCCACATGTCAAATTGGGTTTAGCCAGAGTTTTCATCCTCCCCAGATTTCGGGTTGGGATCACAAAAAGCTTCTCATGTCACACATGAGACCTACGAGAGAGGTAATTTTAAAAATGCATATTACAGTGGTGCCTTGGTTCTCAAATGCCTTGGTACTCAAACAACTTGGAACCCAAACACTGCAAACTCGGAAGTCAGTGTTCCAGTTTGCGAACTTTTTTCGGAAGTCAAATGTGCTCTGTTTTGAGTGTTACGCTTCCGATTTGAGTGCCACACATCCGTTTTGAGTGTTACGCTGAGGTCTGTCTGTTTTCCCTATATATTTTGCGTTTTTGTGGGTCTTGTTTTTCTTTTTGTGACTGCGTGGAACACAGTTCAGCTACTGACTGATTGATTGTGTGACTGCAGTACATTGTTTATTGCTTCCATTTTATGGATTCATGGTCACGTTAGATTCATTTTTATGGATCCATGGTCACATTAGATGTTTTAGGGGTTGTTTTTAAAAGTCTGGAACAGATTGATCCATTTTGCATTACTTTCTATTGGAAAGCGCGCCTTGATTTTGGAACGCTTTGGTTTTGGAACGGACTTCCGGAACGGATTAAGTTTGAGAACCAAGGTCCCACTGTACTTATTCTTCAAAATAAAATGAGGAAGATCCTCAGCCTCTACGTGGGTCACAGAACGTGTAAAGTATGTGGGAAATTGGGGCTCCGGAGTTATTTTCTCTACAAGCGAAGATGAAAGTGTTTGAGGCTACTTCTTTGTCTGGGAAAAACTCCGGCTACGGGGAACACCTTGATTGAGGTTTAAGAAAAGGATGTCTGGTGTGGAGGAAGTGCACTGAGTGAGAATTCCTCTCTCTCTCATCAAACCAGATGAAACTCAGCTCCAGAGAGTCGGGCAAGATAAGCGAAAAGAGGGGGGAAAAGAAAGACTTCTTCACACAATGCATAATTAACGTGGAATTTGTTTCAACAAGGTGTGGTGATGGAAAACAGGCTCGGATGCCTTATGAAAGTGGATCTGACAATTCAGGGAGGTGGAGAGAGATGGAGGGTGCTAGGAAAACTCAGCAGAGCCTCCCTGTCCAGGGGCAAACTACCAGATTGCTGAGAGGGGTGGGCAAGCGCAGGAGAGGCAAATTGTGTCTCCTGCTTTTGTGGGTTTTCCCAGAGGCGCCTGGTCTCCTCTCTGCACTCATCGGCCAGTGTTCGCTGTTAGTAAGAAGGATATTATCCGTAGGTAGCGCGGGTGGCGCTGTGGGTTAAACCACAGAGCCTAGGACTTGCCGATCAGAAGGTTGGCGGTTCGAATCCCCGCGACGGGGTGAGCTCCCATTGCTCAGTTCCTGCTCCTGCTAACCTAGCAGTTCAAAAGCACATCAAAGTGCAAGTAGATAAATAGGTACCACTCTGGTGGGAAGGTAAACGGCGTTTCCTTGCGCTGCTCTGGTTCGCCGGAAGCGGCTTAGTCATGCTGGCCACATGACCCGGAAGCTGTACGCCGGCTCCCTCGGACAATAAAGTGAGATGAGCGCCGCAACACCAGAGTCAGTCACAACTGGACCTAATGGTCAGGGCCCCTTTACCTTTACCTTTTTAGCTCAGTTAGAAGAGCATGAGACTCTTAATCGCAGGGTTGTGGGTTCGAGTCTGGCATTGGGCAAAAGATTCTTGTATGGCAGAGGGTTAGACTAGATGACTCTCTACAATTCTACGAACTTGCAATTCTACTTACAATTCTACGAACTTGTTACTTTTCAAACCCCTACCCCCTGCCGTGGATCAGCATAGCTATCTAAAATCCCACCCACCCAGGCCTTGTATTTTGGGGTGGGTGGGGGGTGGGGGTGTTGAATAAAAGGAACATATCAACACAGCTAGTTCCCTTTGGTGGCTGTCAATTACATCCCCCAAGAATTTTCAAAAGTGTTTGCTTCAAATGAGACCTTTTTTAATATATTTAAAAAAACACCCCAGAATGCACATTATTTTTCATAATGCATGTTATCATAACTTTGAACAGTTTTTGACGCCTCAGCCAGCCGTTCCCGAACGCTAAATTATTCAGACCTTCAAAATTCATTAGCACAGCGACAAGGTTGCGAGATTCTGTTCGCAGGTAAGTGAGGCGCCGCTTGTTGCGGTGGGTGGAAGGGAAGAGACGAGGCGCTTTGCCACTAATTCAGGTTTTTAAAATTAGGTAAGATTTCAGGGCAGGGTGAGGAGAGAGGGTGTGTGCATTTCCCCCCATCTGATGATAATTTCCAGGGGGAAAGAGAGGGGTGTTTTTTCTCCCTCTGATGATAATTTCCAAGGAAAGGCCAAACAGAATGATCGTGCGGAGCAGTAGCTCCCCCGTGAAGAAAGCTTACAAAATATGTGGCTTTTAAAAAGGTCGTCTCAGCAGCATCAGTATTTCACAAGAGAGATGTCAAGCACGTGCCTGGAAATTTAGGTTTGTGCAATTAAAGTGGATTAATGTTTGCAGCCGGCCCAGCACAACAAATCCACTTTTTAAAAACAACAACACTTTTTGTGGTTAGGGAAGGTAATGGGAAAGAACCTGAGACGCAAGCAAAATTGGATGAAGTCTCGCGGTCTTATGCCCTCCCTGCAAACAAATCAGAACAAATCCTCAAAAAAAAAAAAGACCAGGCAATAGGCCACATTCACGTCATATATTTAAAGCACTATCGTGCCACTTTTAACAGTTTCTCACCAACGTTTCCCGGAAACTGTAGTTTATTAAGGGTTCTGCAAGTTGCGAGGAGACTGCCCTATTCCCCTCGCAGAGATGCAATTTGCAGAATTCCCCTGAGAAGAGACATTGATTGTTAAATCACTCTGGGAATTGTAGTTTTGGGAGGTGAACAGGGGGTCTCCAATGAGGTCTCTGCACCCTTAACAAACTACCGTTCTTAAGATTCTTTGGGAGAAACCATGACTGCTAAGGGTGTGGAGACTTGTTAGAAGATCCTTATTCAAACCCCTGCCCCAAATATACAATTCCCCAAGGGGTTTAACAATCAAGCCCTTTTCTCAGGCAGCTCTGAAAATTGTTAGCTCTGTGAGGGGAATAGGGACCACCTAGTAACTCTTAGCAACTATATCAAATCGCAGCTCCCAGAATCCTTTGGGGGAAGCCATGATGGTTTAATGTGCTCTCACACCAAATGCTCAAAGCATAATCCACCCACCTTCAAAAGGAATTATGGAAACTGTAGTTTGTTATGGGTGCAGGGAATTACAGCTCTGTGGGGGGGGGCAAACTACAGTTCCCACGATCATTTGAGGGGACAGTGACAAAGTGCCAATTTCAAAGGGTGACTGTGTTTGTTGATTCAGAAAGTGCAAATCAAAAAAGCCTACCTCTAAATACAAACTGAATCTAATTTATCCCTCACCTCAGCTGATCACTGTTGGAAACTGGATCCTGGGTTAGGTGGAACATTTGGTCCAATATATCCAGGCAACCTGTTTGCTGTTGTGCCAGGCAAATTAAAGCTTGGCTTGCGACGCCAGTATACAAATTTGGCACAGGGTGTACACAACATGAAGCGAAAAGGCGCTGTGTGCCTATGAAACAGGCGCAGGTGGGAGAGAAAGGAATGTCCTTTGATCCTACCTTTGTTCCCAGAGGCCCTTTGAGTTCCTTGCCAAAACTTCACTTTTAACTTCCCACTGCTGGGATCACCGCAGGGAATTATTCTTATGTTCCATGGAAGGCAGAACTGTCACGATGAGACCTACACGGCAGGGCTGCTAGTAAGATCTTTGGAAGATTCAGGGTCACAAGACCAGGACACAAATTTGCAAAACATTTAAAGATGCTAATCTCCCCCCTTTATATTTATATTATTTATATTGTTTATATTATTTATATTTGGGGTGTGTGTGTAGGTAGGTAGGTAGGTAGGTAGGTATACCTACATTTTAGGGGGAAATTTGTCTGCCTTGGTGAATCTGGGCATCTCTTAAAATACCGTCATCAAATTTTGCATGGTATTTCCTGAGATCAAGGAGCAAATTTTGTCTACGTTTAGATGCAAACGGATGCTGTTTTGAATCAATACGGTCGACTGAATCTTTCAAAATGGACTGATTTTAACCCCTGATTTCAAAACTGCACTGATTCCTCCCTGCCTCCCCCCCCCCCCCCCCGTTTCTTAGAATTCATAGATCTGGCTCAAAGGCCACACATGGAGATCTGCATGCATCACAGCAATGCCTCTCTAGTTGCGATTATTGCATAATTAGAAGGTTATTGCGCAGCCTTGGAAGACTGTATAATCTTCGAAGGGGGTGTCGCTGCAATTATCCCGAAGGGACCATGTTTTTATGAATTTGCCACTACACAACTGGGCACTAAGGCAGCGACATCTTTTCCCTAGCAGCTGGCATTTGGAGGTAGACTCCCTCTGGGCATGGAGGTTCTATTTAGCTAGCACAACTTGTTAGCTTTGCGGTGTGCGGCGACGATTAAGAAAAAGAAAGAAAAAACTGCCAGTGGGGAACACGCCTTTGATGATAATATTAATCTGCAGCAAGGTTGTGAGTGGTGGAGAAAGTGAGTGGGAATATTTTCCCTTACCTCATTTTACAAACAGCAGGGAACACCCATCCCTAAAGAGAGGCTGCAGGTTTAAGATCACAGTGTAGAAAAGAGAATCGATTGCCCTTGATTATGGAGGGTGTATTATGTGCTTTTATATAAGGGGTAGATGCAGCATGTGGGGTTGGTAGCCAGCTAGGCCCTACTCAGAGTAGACCTGTTGACATTCACGGACCTAAGCTAGTTGTTTCCATTCATTCTGATGGTCTTACTCTGAGTAGGACTGGCAAAAGCTAGAAGTCTTTATTCCCGAAACCAATAGCTTTGCCTGCAAAGGTCCACTGGCCTGATCCTGGAGTCCTCCTCAGGGAAAGGGCTTTTCTGGTCCTCACAAAAACAAGGGCAGTTTAATCTGTCTGCAAGGACAGATTCCCCTCTTTCCATAGTGCTGCAACAGCTTTCGTCTGCCGAAAGCTTGAGAAATAGTTGCGTCATTACGTGCTTCAGTCTCCTCCAGCGTTGCCCAATTAACTCCACAGCATTTCACAGCCCGGAAGCAATCTGCTGAGGCTAGGCTGGTGGTTCTGTTGTCGAGCTGCAAGAGCAGAAAACTGATATGGATACCGACTGCATGTGTGCTGAGGCGAAGAGAGGTAAAATCAGGATGCTTGGGTGAGCCCCTCTTTACGTCAGTCCATGCCAGACTCTGATCACAGCCACATCTTGATTTAAAGCAACATCATACCACATTTAAAGTGCCATCATACCACTTTTTTAAAAAAGGCATCGTTTCTCCCCAAAGTCTCCTGGGAACTGTAGTTTGAGGGCGCTGAGAGTTGTTAGGAGAGCCCCCTATTCCCCTTGGAAAGCTACAATTTCCAGAGCTCCCTGAAAAAAAGGATTGATTTGTACGCCTCTCTGAGAATTGTAGGTCTGTGAGGGGGAGTTCTCAGCTCCCTCAAGAAACTACAGTCCCCAGTGGGGGGGGGGGCATGACTGTTTTAAACTAGCACAATATTGCTTTAAATGTATAGTGCAGATGACGGCCTAAGCTCACACTCCATTGGAATGAATGGGTCTAACTTAGGTCCTGCCCATTATTACGAATGGGTTTCCTCAGAGAAGGGCAGACACTTGTACTCTTTGACAACAAACAAGCCTGGCTTGTCTCCAGCTAGATTCTACTAAAAACAGACCTATTAAAATGTACGGACCTAAGTAAGCCATGTTGTTTCACTTCAAGGGGGTCTACTCTGAGCAGCAAAACAGTCAACCGCTCTTCCCAGGGCATTCTGGGAATCGTTCTCTTTGCTTTGAGAAAGAAAACAGCAACAACATGGGAGCCGAAGGAGAAAGCAAACACACATATTTATAAAGATGTGTGCAGTCGGGAGGGCGCTGCCCATGCAAACTACACCCCAGGAAGTTTAGCTTTTACCAAATATATAATTAGCTTGTGGTACTCCGGGCCGCGGGGTTATTCAGAGGGTAAAAGCATATGGGTTGTGTTTTTGTTTTTAAACGGGAAGGGAAAAGTGGCGACAGCGAGGAGCAGATGGACGGATGGAAGAGTCTGGCAAGGTCATTTCAGGCCACAAGCTTTGATTGATACAGTGGTACCTTGGTTGAAGAATAGCCCTGTTTACGAACTATTCGGTTTACGAACTCCACAAAACCGGAAGTAGCGTCCCGGTTTGCGAACTTTACCAGCAATGACAAACCTAGACAGCATCTTAAAAAGCAGAGACATCACCTTGCCAACAAAGGCCCATATAGTTAAAGCTATGGTTTCCCCAGTACAGTGGTACCTCGGGTTAAGTACTTAATTCGTTCCGGAGGTCCGTTCTTAACTTGAAACTGTTCTTAACCTGAGGCACCATTTTAGCTAATGGGGCCTCCTGCTGCTGCCGCGCCGCCGGAGCACGATTTCTGTTCTCATCCTGAAGCAAAGTTCTTAACCTGAAGCACTATTTCTGGGTTAGCAGAGTCTGTAACCTGAAGTGTATGTAACCTGAGGTACCACTGTAGTGATGTATGGAAGTGAGAGCTGGACTATAAAGAAGGCTGATCGCCGAAGAATTGATGCTTTTGAATGATGGTGCTGGAGGAGA